AATCGTTCTAGTTTACAAAGAGCTTTTCATTTTTTATTGCAGTTAAATCGAAAACTCATGTCGACGCTTTGAAAATTTGTTTTGAAGAGGAAGTCTCGAAATTAGGCTCGATTTGACAGGAATTTGATTGATAGGAATTGATAAAATTGATAAGAATCGATTATCCTCGAATTCTTGTTTTTGTTAAAATTGTGAATTGTTAACGTACCAGTTTAGAGCTAACTATAACCGTTCGATCTTCTATCGAGTAGATAAGATCTTTGGCTTAGTTCGCATGTCCACTGCTGCGGATTCCGCAGAATTGAATTACAATTCCAAGACGATGTAATAAAGCTCACCCTCTTCGCGTATATATCCTTGTTCGCCCGTCGTCGAGGCAATATAACAGGAAACGAATCAACTTCCCACCGACTATCTTCTCTAAGGATTATCCAAAAAGATACCGATCAGCGACGAGCTAGTTTCCGATTCGCAAGGCGGGTTTAATGCATTACAGTTTGAACATCAATTATAGTCGACGATAAAAGTGATTATTATCAAGCCTGAAAAGTCTGTCTATTATATTTTGACAGTTGTTAATAGATCGCATGTAATTATGTAAAAAGCAACCCAGCAAACAAGCTGATGTTATTTATTGTTATTTTGACATTATAGATGTCAGTTTGGCGTCAAAATGATGATAAATAACGTCAGCTTGCCGGGGAGGTTTTATGACAAAACGTTAAAAAAATTAAAGCAGAAGTTTTCATTCCGTTTTCGGCTTCCGGGCACTTTATCATTCATTTCAAGCCACTTCTGAGGTGCTGACGAACGACGGGTATTTTTTTCAATTTTCGCTTTAAGCGGCACAACTGCCGTGGAAAATGGATCCTCCGATACCACTATTGTTGACCAGCGTGATAAACTGACCTCGCATACGTCTTCTTTTGTTTCAGGAATACCCCGCGCGCTGTTACGTAACCATTTATTTTTAGTTGGCCACCGATTTTCTGCATTGTATCCTGCAATCCGACCTCTCCCAATATAAAGAGAAATGATCGAAGTCGCGGAAGTGTTTTCTACCACGCTGTCAAAGATACACTTTACACAATTGCAGTTCTTTAATTGAGGTCCCCGCGATACGATTTAATTCTGCAATACATTATTCTTCTTTCTTTATTTGCATAACAAATCAGTACAACGTTCGCAATGATATGACGTGAGATAGAAAAGTCAAACTTTTTTTTATATACAGAAAGAATGACTTTACTGAAGCATCTAAAACTTTAGCTGGATACATCAAATCAAAAGTAATTTTATTGGATCATCAAAATGTTATGTAGGTAATTCAAATACGATGGACAATCCTCTCTCTCTGCAAAAGTTTTGATAAATTCAAAAATTACAAAAATTAGGGGACTATTCGAGCCACCCTAGATGTCATGTACAAATTATTATATATAAACAATAAGTTAATCAGTAAATTAAATCACGACATCCAGCGTGACTTGAATAGCCCTCTAATTTTTGTAATTTTTGAACTTATATTCTTGAGAGCCTTATAATTTATTTGATGAATTTTAGTCTTGCAAATTATTTTGACGATCTAATAAAATTATTTTTTTATCTCTCTGTATCTAGCTAAATTTTTAGACGCTTCAGCAAGACGTTCTTTCCGTATATGGAATTTTATTCTAGCTTAACAGCGCGGAAGTCAAGAAAGTTTTTATTCAGGAATAAATTTTTTTATTTCGTTTTTGGTCAAACTGCACATCTTCGTCTTTTTCCTTGAAGCAAGAATTCATGGATAAATGGACGTTGCTTAATCGACCATGGGAAACACACGTTTTGCATTCAGCCGCAGGTCTGACGGTCTGATTCTGTGTAGATAACGAGGGTGAGTTTTACGAGATCGTATGGCCGTCGTGATTCAATTTAGCGACAGTATTATGAACTCATACCGAGGGAAAGATATTCTACGATGTTACGAGATTACCAGGATAGGAGCGAGCTCGAGATCTTTTCGTGGTAAAACGAAACTTCGTCTTTCTTGTTACCCGCTGGCCATTTTTCTTTACGAATGGACCGACCAACCGTCCCGCCCTCGCACAAATTTTCGCTAAGATTTTATTACGTTACTGGATCATCTGTTTAAAGGCCCGTAAGATATCCGCCGCCGGCCACCGTCGATCATATGATGTCCAAAAGTTAGAAACGCGAACAATTCTTTGTGACTTATGGTCGTGGGAAAAAAAGAAAGTATATCTGCACCTGTGAGAAATAAAAGCATTTAAATTCAAAATTATTGGTTTTGACGTATAATTTGCAATCAGAAAAACATTTACTGTTATTTTACTATAATTTTGCCTCGTCAAGGTCGATTAATATGATGTATATATAAAGTATATATGTATAATACAACCAAATCTTCTCCTGCTTTTTCTCTTGGCTGTACAATCGACAAGAGAGTTTACCTTTTATTCCATTGTAACCAACTCTCGGAAGTCTGAGACCAACGTTGTTACTGTTTCGCAGAATACAGTCTCCGCTCGTACTTACGATTGAAGACACCATATGGAAAGCTAAAGTCGGACTTAAAGAGAAAGATATTGACTTTATTGTTCTTTCTTTTTTTTTCATGACGCGACTTCGATTTGGGCTCAAGCCGGAGGCTACCGCAGGAGTTTTGCCGCTTTTATCGAGGGAAACTTTCTTCCATAACGTTATCAGCAAAGTGCTGATCTGTTCATTCTTAGTGCCACATTAAGGTGATATTATAACGAAAATGGAGCGCAAACGTAATTTTTCTTTCGCGGTTTTCCAACGCGATATAAATTTTTTTGCTGATATTCGTAGAGTCATCGAACCCATTTTGGCACTCAGCCATTTGCGAAAGAATTCGCGGGAGTCGTGCGGATTTTTAGGAGGAATTTTCAAGCGTTGTAAAAAACGTATGGTTACTAAAATGTGACATTTAAATTTAAAGCAACTATTCTCAAACTTTTTAAATAATGTACTTAAAGGGGGCTAAAGTATTGTAATCGATATTAAACAAAGGATTTCTTAGGATTGTCAATATACAACTGATAAAGAATAAAGCCTTTAATTGTCAAGTTGGATGCTTAAATGATTCGATGTAAATTTATACACTATAAGTATTGTAATATTTTTTTAAGAATATGAATTTGAGTAGAATTTCTAAAAATTTAATGAGAAAGTGGCAATGATAAATTAAAGTGAGAAAATTGCCAAAGCAATTTAATGTCTTTCTACAATGCAGAATTATACAATATACAAAATTTGAAATGCAATAATCCATAACTTTTGAAATATTAATATTCTTACGTTAAAAAAAATAACATACTTTATTTTCAGTAAACTTTAACAACAGCCAATATCGAATTTACTTGTTGCTTGTGCTTTACATAAATTAAAACTAATTTTAACTTTGCGTAATTTCTCCTTTAACATTAATTGTTATGCTGTTCAAATGTAAATCAAGACAGAAATTTACTGGATTAAAACACGCTCGTTTCGTAGTTTTAATAACTCTTAACAGCGACACAAATGATTAAAGCAGCTCCACCGAGATACATAGCAAGCATGCATTCGCTCTTTCATGTATTACAGCATCTCTCGTTGCGACGTACATTTAATTCGCACGACATGCCACATAGGTGCGAAGAGGTCCCATCGTTATGTAACTTTTAACAGCCTTGTATCAACACGACGCGGTCTGCGAACTTAACTTATTAACGAGGGCGCGTTACACGCAATTTCGTCCGGCGTTGTATAATCATGCCGTCGCGCTGATTTCAAATATTTGACTAAACTACGTCCGGATGCGATACGCGATGCGTTACGAGACTGATCGTTAAGCTGGCCGCACACGATGCATGATTTTCATGCTTACTCTCTTGCATGCTGATCAATGCATGTTACTTTGCTCGGCTCGCTGCATAAACGTCATCACACGAAGGTGGCAACCGTGGTGGCTTTAACCTATACATCTCACATGACACCAATCAATCACGTGAGTGATTCTTAACGTTTTGATTGGCGCCTGCAAGAAAACAAGCATGAAATAATGCACCATACAGTAAAAAAGAAAATGTTAATTTTAACATTTTTTACATATCCCAGGAGATCCACTCTAAATTTTAAGTTAAAGTAACTCATTCGCCTTGTGTTATTTATTAACGAACTAATAATGTTAAATAATTGACAGAATACTTTACATTTATATTTGTTATTTTGACTTTAAGGGTGATTTAAAACTAACATATAAAATAAGTAGAGTACATAAAAGAGTAATTGCAGTAACTCGTAAGAAAATGTTAATAAAACATTTTTGTTCGTACAATGTGAATGAAAAAATTTTTAGATGTTAAATTGACTTTGAGATATATAAATTAATTGAAACAATTGTATTAAAAACATTCAAAATAATATTCCATTTTTAATTGACATACGCAATTGTTAAGTTAGAAAGATGACATGAATCTGACACATCAAAATGTTACAAAAATAATAACATATCAGTTGTATGTTTATTTTACATTGAAGTAATAATCAAAAAACACAAGAAAAATTCTACATATGGACTCACGATTTTTTACTATGTATCAAACACAGAAATCAAGGATGATAGCATGGTGGAAATATATAAGGTAAAGCTATCTGGATGCGCGGTAGGAAAGTGCATATTCGGACATATTTGATTGGCTATTCCAGTATAACCTGCGCTATTATAGGTACGAAAGTGCATATTCGGACATACGTGATTGACTATTTCCAGTATTGCTACCGCCATTATGCGTATTGTTTCACCTTATATATTTCCACCATGGATAATAGTATACTTCGCTCAATGCACCAAGCTGTTTAGCACGCATCAGAGCAGGCACAGCAGCATGTAAGACCATTATGCAGGAAATCATGCATCGTGTGCGGCCAGCTTTATGCACGCGTTATCGGTGAGAATTGCTTCCGTTATATACGAACGGCTCTGACCACGAAACCTCGTCGCTAGCAATTCGCCCGGAGAAGCGACGCAAACATTTGCGCTGGGGGTTGTTTAACAGTCTCCGCAACACACGAAAACGATGCCTCCGAACCAATCCAGTCTTTGCTGCCTCCGAAGTTCGACGTCACCTAATCGGACACCGAGGAATCCCACGTGTCACACGTCGCAAATGTACTCTAGAAAATGATCAAATCGATTGTTACTTTCCTCGTATTCTGTCAATTGCTCAACATCGGAAAATGCCTGCGGGTGAACGGCACTCACAATGAAAATTCAGAGACAGCGCAGCGGTTCAGGTTGCGAAGGAGCCTTACGTTTCCCAATTCGTCTCAGCTTTTGGTATGTAATTAGTTAATAAACGAAATTGCATTACTTCTTGAATTTGATGCTCATTGTTAATTGCTCAATGAGAAAAAATATATATAATTTTATAATCATATAGGATTTGATTATTAAGGAAAAAGAAAATAATCAAATAATATTACATAATATACTTATATATGATGTTACCCATTAATTTATATTCTAGAACGGTTCAGAGTGACAGATCGGCGCAATTTCCGCTACTCTGATAATTAAAACTACTGTCGGGATCGTGCGTGTCAGAAAATGAATGTACACGGCCGTTTTCGTGCGCGTCATTCTTCCTCGCGTTCGTCCAATTTTCCGGACAGCGTGTTTTCCACAAATACCATTACGACGACTGTTCCCTATACATTCCTGACCTTTGAAGAGACGAGAGAACGAACGCGAATGACACGAAGAAAGTTGTGACGGGTTCATTTTCGGCGTTTTTTTCGGCGACACGGGTAATTATTCGCCTCACACATGTTGACATTGACGGAGAATTATTTGATGACCGTACCGATATTCCGGCGCATTCAACCCGTCGATCTTTCGTGGTCCATTTAGTTTATGACAGCTGGCGTCCGGCTAGAGACGAAAAGGTTTACGCGGACATGGGATCGCACATCTGTACAGGATGTTGCTGATACAACGGCTCTCTCGCGGATGTAACACATGCTGGCCGCGTATGAATTTCGATAAATTCGCGAGAATTTCCACGGAAGATCGTATCTCGGCGCGACAGCGCGTCTGGAGAGGACAGTTTAACGAGATTCAGCCCGGGTTTCGTATGCTGTACGGTTTTTTTTTATATATTCGTGTCGCCGAAGCCGGCGAATGAAATCGATACATTCCACGAACCGATGATAGATTCTACTGGTTAGTCTGGTGATGTAGAAGCGAATGCGGAAAGACATTCATTACTCGCGCTAATTGAAGATACGATTGGACCGACGCGACGACTTAAGGGGATGCTGGAGTGACGGTCGAACTTAATCGAGGTCGATAGTACAGACTTTTTTAAATTCCAAATTCGATGATAGTGACATCTTTTATTCATTTCTTATATTTATTATATATCGTTGTGTCTCGCTCAAACACATTCATCTGTCCTTATCTGGCATATTGTAACGCCATCTCTCAGAAAGAGATCAACTAAAATACTACTCGGTTTCATGGCTTCACGTCAATTTCACTCGTAATATACAAACGAAATTTTCGGCGACTCTTTTCTCTTATACTAAAGCCCCTACCTTTTTCTAAAAGCAGAGAATTGTTCTTCGAGGTTTTCTGTAGACTGCTAGCTATTTATTTTAACCGGGTAAAATCTGAAACTCTTATATGCGGCACATATAAGAGTTACTTATTGTGACGAGTTGACTGCAGAAGCCGGTGACAATGCTGCAATTTTTAATTTGCTTTCATTTTTCATTAAATTGTAGCTGGCAGCCTGTGTTGTTGTAGATACTTTAATTGTGGAGGACTTTTCAATCCATAAACACAATTAAGAGAAAAGAGTCTTTAAAAATTAATGGTAAAACAGGACACTCCAGCATCCCCTTAAGTTGGAAAATAGAATTGGGAGAATATTGCAGTCCCAGTTTCAGTGCGGTAAACGAGTATTTTCCTGCGCATTAAAAGCACGTGCGAAGAGTGCCAGGATTTTTGTCCAGCACGTTAATAGGTTTTTTCCGAAGCGTGGAACACATTTATTTAATAAATGTACGAGATGAAAGCTTGTTAAATTTATGAACAAACCTTTTATTTTCATTTCTGCGAGCAGTAATGAAGTTTTAGAAAAAATTTTGAATTAAATTCACATTAATTCTACGATCAAATAAGTAAGCTATAAATTAGGTCCGGAATCTTGTAGGGTTTTTCATAAAACTTAAGAAAATGCTTACAAATAATTCTTCAATCGAGAAAAGAATGGTTTTCCAAAGTCTATCTAAAAATTTAGCTACATAAAAATTTGAAAAAAATTTGGTTAAACTATCAAAATAATTATATAAGTCGCTCGAACTAGTAGCTTTTTGCGGGATCATTCATTATGTTTGAGCAACTTACATAATGATTTTAGTAGTCCAACAAATTATTTTCTATATCTAGCTAAATTTTTTATACTGTCACATCTGTCATAACTTAAAGCCATAAGTTTGTATCTGTTACTAGCGGAAAAAAAGAAAGAAAGTATAATTCTCAGCGCGATAATTCTCAGAGCTTGAAATATTTCGAACGCGAAAGGAATAGCCTTCGTCGGCAAGAGACATTCACGCCGGAATTACGCTCGTACGATACGCTCGCAATCAATTATTCGCGCATAATGTCGGGTCTGAGCGCGTATTGTTTGTTCCGTGAGAGAGAGAGGCAAAAGAATTATTGCGTGTCGGCTCCTTTTTTCTTCGGTGTGCATTTTCCACCTCCTTTTACCTTCTCCTTCTGGGCGAGGCTATAGTATCCAGATACTCGGCGGCGGAACGATTCTACGCGGAAATTTGCGGTTTTATCGGAAATTCATACGAGGGACGGTCCGCGCAAACCCCGGCGCGGAAATTGGACGAACTTCGTACGACCCACGGAATTCGGAATCCACGACGTGTATGCGGCCGCGGTCATCGCGATTCATCCTCGTTGTGTATACAACGCTCGACATCACCGTACATGGCACTGCCGGCGAGAATAATTAAATGCACGAAACGGTCGTATCATTTTCTCGACACGGCGAAGCTGACAATAATCATGTTGAATGACGATGATCGTCACTACTTAATAGAATTAGTAACCAGAAATCGCATTTTGCTGTATCAACTGTTTAATTTAAAATAAATGGTTGCTTTGTAACTATACGGAAATTATATCTTACTGGATTTGAGATGAACGGAGTGCATATTCTTTCTGCAATTTCCTTGCTTCTACAATTACATAATAATATATATTATACTGAATGGACTAATCTAAGTGATTCTGAAGAAATAATGTTACATATACATGCGGAATTTGAAAGTTGATGGCCTGGCTTGCATTTCAACTACTAACACTGATGATTTGTCTAAATAAACAGATATTTAATAAATTGTTTATTGTGGCTCGTAGCCTTTATATAATACTTTCTTTATTAGAATTAGTAATTTGAGATGAAACTTATAGCGAAGTAGAGAAATTTAAATAAAAAATTATTCTTTTGGATATATCTGTAACTATAAATCCTTTGCAACAATGAGAAAAAAATTGTTTATTTGACTAACTTAATTCAGTTTGTCTCAGTTTCTTTCATTGAAGAATATATGTAGTTAAGTCAAATATAATATGTTTGACGTAAAAATAATTACATACTTCATCAAAAGAAACAAACAAACTGAATTAATTTAATCAAATAAACAATTTTTTTCTCAATGTTGTAATTAACAATAAGTAGTACAGCGAAAAATCGAAAACTATTAGAACTTCATTAAAAATGTCGGAATATAATATAAGTATTACAATCTTTTAAAATTAACATTTTAAACTCCTTTTAAACGGTTTTTTATTCTCAACTGATTTACTCAATGAAGTTAAGGTTCTTAGGTATTTATTATCGAAAAGAGAATTCGAAAAAGTTAAACTACTTTTAAGAAATTTTGCAAACCGACAGTTGGACAGAGACAGTAGTTTGCTACTCTCTAAAACTTTTAGAATAAATTATCACTCTTAAAAAAATGGAATCTCTCTCTTAAAGATCGAAAACCCTTTTTCAAGAATGATTCAATTTTCACTCTTTAAAGTGAGATTCCACCTTAAAAAATTTAGAGTTATTACACTATTCAATAAAGAAAAAAATAAAATTACGAAATAGGTCTATTTAAGAAAGCTTTTAGATGGATTTGATTTGATGATAAAGCGGTAACAACGTGGAATATCGCAACGCGAAGATAAGCATTGTGAAAATGATTTCTCGTTCTGTAGTGAGAGTATCGTTATGTTCATCCGCTTGAATACTATTTTCTGCTTTCACAGCTGATCTTCGGTCTAGGCACACCGTTGCAGTTGGATCGCGAGAGTGTAATCGTGGGTGTATTTACGAAAATGATATACGACATGCCGTCTGACGCCACGGATTTCACGGAACCAGGAGTGTATTATGCAAGGACCAGTAGGAGCAGGTGGAGTTTCTACAAATTGTTTGAAAAGATGGCAGCCATATATGGCTTTGGTGGCAAAGAGTGTTTACTCAAGGCCATTTGCGAAGCCGCTTTCGTCCCATTTGACGCCCATCACGGTTTACTGGGACAATTGGTACAGACTTTCCTTAGGTAAATGAACTATGCGCTATTTGAGAAAATTGGCATACTTGAATATCGCGGCGCGACGCGAAACGCGAATCTTTTTTCCAGATACTTTAGATACACTGAGAAAAATTTCTAGTTGTAAATGAACGAAGGAAATTCTAATTGTATTAGTCAGAATTCTGTTTATCTCAACTGCAATCATAATAGATTCAACTAAAAAAATTCTGATTTGTTTATTTTCAACCAAAACTCCAATTGATGTAACCAGACTCATTTTTTAGTGTACAAAGACGAAAATACGTCGAAACATTGTTATTACATGGACATCTCTTTCCTTGAATTTTATATGGACAGATGATTTTGCTACAGATTAAAAAATTTTGTTAAATACTGATGAGAAAATAATTTTGTTGGGTAGTCAAAATAATTCTGAAAGACTCTCAATCTGGTTGCTGAATATCAAAACCTTTCCCAGCATTGCTGACTTCCTGCAGCGTGCTTGAAATTCCTATAATTATTTTAATCCACAGCAATTATTTTCAAATCTGTATCTAAGTTAATTTTTTAGACGTTTCAGCAAAATCATTTTTCCCGTGTACATGATTTTAAATTGTATTGATATTAATTCCTTTTTTAATCGACGAACGGTTTTATCGGACTTTAATAACACGATACTAACTGATCGTTTCGGTCTGAATTTTCATTGAGATTACATCGACTATAATACTCGTTGAAAGATACACTAAAGTATCCGAAGTGTGTTAATATTACGATGTATCCTACATATATTTCTCCGGCGACCCCGCTTATATGAAAGAATGTCTTTATTATCGATAATCGTTCGTAGCAGGCGTCCTCGTCATCGGCGAGAAAAATCGATTAGCCGCGCCGCAATAAAACGTCGGCACCGGTCGCCCACGCATAACGTCAATTACATGCGAACATAATGTCACGACGGAGACGGCGACGATATTTAATAAACACCGTATCGAGTGCACGCCAGGATTTTCCGATAAAACCATATCCGCGGCTCGCCGATATTTTTGTTTTGTTCCGCCGGCGCCGTTTCCGAAGCGACGCATGGTACGAACACGGCCGTTGTAATTTCTCACGGCACGACAGCCACACGTATGTACGTATGCACGTGTATGCGGAATACCATGGAATTCCAGGCCCTCCAGCACCCGGGAAGAGTACGACGAGTACGGGGATCGGGAATATCGGGCGGCTGAACGGCTGGGCGAGCTGGCGGAGGGCGCAGGCTGCCACGCCCTTTATCCGGAATGCCGCAAAAGTGTGCTCGACGTGTTTTCTACATTGACCACGTGAGACGATCGGATGGAAATCTCGACGGAAAGAGCGGCGGAATTGCATCGGAAGTACGGACGGAGCCCGGGAGATCGCTGAAATATCGAATCGCCGAACGATTTCATCAAAACGCTAGGATTGGAAATTCTGAAGTTTGATGTAGGTGTTGAACTTAATTCCTGTCGTTTTTCGTCTCCAAAATTGATTTGTTTAGAAGGGAAGATGAATGAATACCTTAATCAAAGTAATTTCCTCCATTTTCTACTTTATTACTAATTAATAATACTCTACTAATAGTACTTTGATTAAGGTATTTCCCTTCGAAACAAATCAATTTTGGAGACGAAAAACAGCAAGAATTAAGTTCAACACCTAATATTAGAAGAGAGAAGCACGATTTTTAAAGTATACACGCTGTTCAATTCATAACTTTAAATTATACCTATACGTACACAGTTAGAGTTGTTTCCAATTATTTCTATAGATTTAATTATTGCCATTGTTTTTAGTACAGCAAGTTTCGAAATACGCTGCCGGTACTGAAAATCTATAGTTACATATACTCAGGGCTGAGCATGTATTTGAAATACTTTTATTTGAAAAACAGTATTAGTAAGACAATTATATTTTGTATTTTGTATTTGTTCGGAGTACATGAAAATATTTTGTATTTTGTATTTCATGGGAACATATAAAAGTATTTTGTATTTTATATTTCAGTATTAACAAAATATTATGAAAGTATTTTGTATTTTGTATTTCAAATACTAGCATTGATAATCAACCTTATTATTTGAATTGCAAGATATAAAAAGCTTTCAATTTTTCGATTTTAAATACAAAATACGTAATACTTTTGTGTGATCCGCTAAAATAAAAAATACAAAATACGCTTGTATTGCAAATAGTGTGTTTTAAATACAAGTATTTCAAATACATGCCAGCCCTGCATATACTGTAAATTTTCAGTACTGGCAATGTATCTATATGGAAACATGGCTCTAATATGTTGTTAATTTGACTAATTCAAGAAAATGTATCAAATCTAAATCAATTTAGTGTATTATTTACTAAATGTATATCTTAATATGGACGATGTTTATTTTGAAACTATAATCACAGAAATGGTTTAATTTTCATTTGTACAAATGAAAATTAAAAATAATAACATGTTATATTCAACTTAAGGGATTGGGTTATCATTGTTCTTTTCATATCCTATATTGCACAGATTTCTAAAGGATGTTCTGTAGGACATCTTGAAAACGTCCCAACATCCTGTGAACGTTTCCAGAAAGATCTCTGGAAAAGGGTGCTATATGGGATTAAATAATGCACATTTAACCGATCGAGATCACCATACGTCCTTCTTACAAAAATATAATGCGACACGCAGCTGCGAAATATTCTGTTTAACTCTGGAATAGTTTTCTGATTTTTTACGTAAATGATCACTTGGAGTATTTTTACTACATTTAAATTGTAGTCCTGTTATTAACAATATATTGCATATTATTAATTGTTTTCCAATTTATTATACTGAGAAAAAATGTACTTAATTTTAATAAATAATTGCATCAATGTAATAAATTTTATAAATAATTCAATAAATAATAATACTAACGTAATATTCATTTATGGAAAATAAATATTTGCTAAATAAAAAAAATACAAAGTTAAATCAAATTACTGATTCTTGTATCACATGAACATTACATTTTTTAAGTATTCAACTATTCTAACAAATATTTATTAATATTTAGTACACTTTTTCCTCAGTGTAATATTTGAGAATATTATGAATATGATTTTAATCACAATTCTCAGAAAAAGTAGGTAAAAAGTAATACAAATATTAAATGAAATATAATCACGTTAAGTATAACAGTGTTTTTAAAAAGAAAAAATTTTAATTAATACGAGGCTATTTTATTGTTAACGTTCGAAGAAATTGCATACTTAAAAGTTTGTAAAGAATAGTTATTAAAAAAGAAAAAAAAATGAAAAACAATACTCACATAAAATATTGGGATATAAAAGTGATAAACTCCAGGTGATCATTCTCAGATTAAATAACTCCCGCCATTCGATTTGCGCACACACGGAAAGAGCAAGTACTACACATTTGTCAATTACAAAATTGAATTCCAACACTACCGCTTCTCGCGCACGAAAGCGAGATTCCTTACAAATAATCCATCTCCGCTCTCGATGTTTCGTCATTCCAGTAATGTGAGGAGGTCGTGAAAGCGCTCTCCTACGCTTCCCCATTTCCCCCATTGGCATTCCTCTCTCCTTCCTGATTCGGAGTTTCATCTTCCTAAAAGTGCGCGTAAGAAACAAGGAGTTTCGGCGGGTGGAATGCCGGCATTCGATATTAAAGAATTCTCAGTATTCGCGGAGGATCCGGCCTCCCGCGAAGTTTATCGCGGTTTTTCCGTTACTTCGACGCTTTCCCGTATAATCAGCCGAAAGAAAAGCTCGTCAAAAGTTTTCACGGGACGGCTATCGCGATTTCTTTATGTTCCTTCGGAGCTGCGTAGTAAGACTATTTACTTTGTCTGGCGTTTTTTCTTTCCTTAATTGTGCGGGAACGGAATCCTTGAGTGGAAGAACGGTGAAAGAAAGACCAAATTATCGGTTTTCCAAGTATATTTTAGCAGAAAACATTGAAGCTTGCGAAAGCGTGCATCTGTCTCTTTATATGTAGATATTACACAAGATAATATGTGCGATGAGTTGTTCGATTATATATACACTATTGTATATTATATATTTGCATGTATACACATACAATTCCCATAATAATGCATATTGCGACCGCATTCGCATATATATGCGGTGTATGCGGTTGCCGGTTAATTATTAGATAATGGACGTACTGTAGTTAATTATGAATAGATATTAGTTTGGCCAGAGCAGGCAAATTTGCTCTTTCTGAACAATAACAGTGCTCCAAACAATCTTTCAGATTAGAGAATGTTTAAAGGAGTCTTTAATCTGTCGGTATTCTCAGATTGATCTAAAGAAAAGAAAGTTGTAAATCTAAAAACTTAATCATATATGATTGAACTAATGAGTATATATACTAATATATACTATATATACTATTGTTATACTACTATACTACTATTACTATATATACTAATGAGTATATATACTCATTAGAAACTCGCGAAGCTTCTAAAGCTTAAATGTGCAATTTAATGTTACAATAATATAATGTTTTATATAATTTTTTTTTTTAAATAAATCGCTAAATTTATAATTTAAGAATCTTAGCCCTCATATTTTTTAGGTATAAAAATTATTTCTTGAATTATTATTTATGCATTTCGTGTTTCAGAAAGAAAAATGAACACAATTTTTTTGCTTGCGGTTTTATATATACAGTAATCGGTGAGTACAAAAAGTATTCGTACAGGAGAAATTTTTATAAAAAGATCTTATTCGCAATTGTCATAAAATGAAAATTAATTAGCAATTTTATATTATGAGTACGTTTTATCATAACAAAAGAATTTGCGTATTTCTGATCTTATAAGCTTGACTGTACGAATACTTTTTGTACGTACAAATAATATGATTAAAATTTTTTTATTTTCTTGCTTATTTTTAAGATAATATGTAAATTTTAATTATTATATGCCTTTTAAGTAAAATAATTTTGAGAAATATACAGTTTATTTTATTCTTTGTTAATAAATCGTTACTTAATGTTGACTTTTTAAAAATAAGATTCTTTTAGAAAATATCTTTCTTTTTTAGAAGATATCTTTACAAATACTTTTCGCACTCACTATTATAAGTTTCTAGAAATTTATCGAAAATAGCTTGATGATGGATTCGAAACACGACGTGCTTCTCTTTACATTTCAGATGACATCGTCGCAATAAACCTCGAAACTTTCTTTACGTTAACTTCTGTCGGTTGGTTCGGGATATTGCAATTAAGGAAGCGGATCCCGGGTTTACGCAGCACACTGGAAAAGCGTTTTAGCATTTTACCGCGCGAAACGATTTCTTCCCCATAACGTTTTATTATGTCGCACCGTGCCTTGCTCGCCACATTGTGAAAAGCTCATTTCCTTGGAGCTTCGTAAACACGCGTTTTTACGCGCCGTTTTGCACAGAAACGCTAAACAAGTGCGTCCTTCTTGTGTACAGGCCGCGAATTTGTTTCACGGCTTGTATAATAGTCGCTCACTTTTGCGTCCACGTTGTTTCGAACTATTCTCCAGTTTGCGCAGTGTCCACAGCCGGAAAAGCTAAATTTGATGAGAAAAGTTTGTTTTCTTAGGAGATGGAGGATGCGCGGAATTTTCGTCTATGCATTTCTGTTCGCTCGCTTGACAATATATATCGTTTATTTGCTACAACGACATAACTCAAAAATTATTTTTTAATTTCTCGCAGAAAAAACGAAAATATAAAAAAAATGTCTATTTTAAAAGAACATATTTTTATTGCTCTGCAATCAGTATTACATTGAAATTGCATTCTAACATTAGTTATAATTTATTTAAAATTAGTTACAAAATTTTAATAATTCAAAATATTGAAACTTTTCTGAAACATTTTGTTTTATTGTAGCAAATGAGCGATATGTGGTTGTGTACACATTTTAATATTAAATGAAACATAATATTTTTTATAAAGATTAAAAAAACTAGATAGGCAAATGCAACATTAATTATAAATTCTATGATAAATTTTAAAGTTAAATTATGGACGTTGTAACAGAGATTCATATAATTATTATTATTAAACAATTTATTATTTATTAATAATAATCTACGCAGATATATTTAATATAATCGTAGACTAATTACAAATTATAAATAATAAGTATAAGTTATAATAATAATAATAAGTGACGGACTGATTACACAATTAATTTTCTAAAAAATCTCGTGAGAGATAAAGACTGAAAGATATATTTTTACTTTCTTTATTGACAAGAAAATGATGCTTCGAATTTATGGCTGCCTTTCGTATTGTCAGTACATTTAGCTTCCTCTCATCGAATTTTTGGAGACTTTACGAGGTCCCGCGGTATTTTCACATATCTCATTCGATAGGATATGCTTGTGTCTGGAACGGTTGTAGTGAATAGAAACGATTTACTGCCGCGATATCC